TCCTTTGTTTCCTGCATTGAAGGAAGAGGTCTTGGTCTCGTCGGTCCATTGTTTTCTCCATCGATGTCTGCGGACCTGAGAAATAGGCAGGTCCATCCTGCTGCATTCCTGTAGGCGCATGGAAAAGTATGCCAACCGAAGCAGGTCTCGAGCTCCCGTTCTCCGTGTGGGTCAGAAGGTTTGGTTGAATACTAGGGACCTTCTTCTATGTGTCTCGTAAATTGGTGCCCAGTTTGTTGTTCCTATTCCCATCACCAAGGTGATTAGTCCCTCTACAGTTCATCTTTGTCTTCTGGATCCATCCAACGTTCCACGTCTCCCTCCTAAAACCCCATGTGATCAGTCCCCTGGCTTCACCTGCATTGCCTCCTCCACCTCTCAGGTTGGTTGGTGGAGGTGAAGAGTATACTGTACGCCGCTTGCTGAATGTTCATCACCGGGGTTGTGGACTTCAATATTTGGTGGACTGGGAGGGGTATGGTCTGGAGGAACGGTCCTGGGTTCCGGCACGGCATGTACTAGATCCATCTTTCATCTCTGACTTTCAGCGCAGTCGTGCCAGGGAGCGCGTTTGTCCACCGGGTGGCGGTCGTCGGGGGGGAGGGGAGGTGGGGGTACTGTCATGGACCGCTCTGAGGAAGCTCCTATAACATTATGTGGGGCTTATCTTCCATGCTTTTGGGGTATCCTGAGAAGGGAGTCTAGCAGTGGCTTGAATGCTCCCTCCCTGTCTTCCCTGGGAACTGGTAGAACTGGTAACTGTACACCTCCCTCTGTTAGCTGAGCTCCATCTGGGTTAATGAACAATCATACTTATTCATGTCTGGCATGCCATCCAGACGTGAGATCATCCGCATACTATTCAAGCAGTTCTGTCCCATTATATCCCTTTGCCTGTCTGTACCTCTGCCTGTCCCTCTGACCGTTCTGCCTTTCCAACGACAAATCTAGCCTAGCCCACTGACTATTGACGAAGATTACCTGAACACCCGCCTGTCCCCGGATCCTGAGCCCTGCCCTGTCCCTTCATTGCTGACGAAGATCGCCCGACTGCTGCCTATACCGTGACCATGATTCTTGGATTACATTTTGGTTTTCTGTCTGGATTACAAGTAGGATATTAAACCCCTTTCACCTGCCTGATCCACAGCAGTGTCCTCCTTGTTTATGTGACTCCGACCATGACAGGAGACGCCTGGAGAAAAGACGGTCAGAGCAGAACCTACAATCCTGGGGGCTGGAGTTAACTGAAGCACCTGAGCCACCATACCGAAAGGTCACAACAGCAAGTGTCAATTTGATACCAATCATACAATGAAGAAACAAAGATGTAGTAAAATTATTTAAAATTTCAAAATAAGAATTAAAAATGTCATATTTTTTAAACATGCATTGACCTTATATTCCCTAATCACAAGCATCAGATGCTTGAAATGGTAAGTAGAGGCCGTCCCCAGGTTCAGAACATCCGACTTATGGAAAACTCATACTTAGGAGCGTACTACCATGCAGGGGCAATGTGATGCTCAGTGCCAGTTCAAGTGCAGCCTCAGTCCATCTGTGGATCCTTCAGCAAGACCCTTAACCCCCAGCTCCCTTGGTGCTGCTATGGGTGGCTGCCCTTTGTGGCCAGCTTGCTCTTATCTACAGAGAGTGAGATGGGGGAGGCATGAAAAGAACTTCCCCACAGGGATCAATAAAAAGTATCAGTTATTATAAAGCCTATTGTATTAATAATCCGGTTAAATACAATGATTTTTAATAATGCACACACACAATACTTTGTTATGCTCAAGGTAGAGTACAGTACCCTATATCATTATTTTTATTGTTGCGGTATAATTACTTTGTACTGTATTATTATTTTTCCACCTAGAAATTTGACTTAACGACAGACTTAGGGAACGGATCTCGTTCATAACCTGGGAACCGCTTGTAAGACTGATAATGTTTAAAAACCAGCATTCGAAGAAAAAAAAAAAACTGAAAAGAAATGTTCCAAAATATTCCATATATGCAGGTTCAGTAAAGGAGGCCGCTTGCTATTTCACTGCCAGAAGATCTGGTGGACTTTCAGCCTGACCCACCAACTTCAGTGACCCCCCCCCCTCCCCCAGATAGAACTTGTGGTGAGCCTCTGATGTCTTGGAAAACACAAGGAGATCTGTATTTCCAGCCCACCAAGACACACATAGACACAGACACACAAACAAAGAGAAAAATCACATGGCCTGCATTCTAAAGCCATCTTTGCTCCTCAAACCAAATGACTTGAGAGTAATCAGCATGTTATGATTTACACAAAAATGGCCTGAAGTAGGAGCTTCAGCTTTGGAGTGAGGTGGAGATACAACGACAAGCGTACAACAAGGTAGAGAAATCCCATCTCTGATCTCACACAGACAGCTCCCTCATTCTACCCAAACCTGACACTACTTTGAAAACAAATGATTCACAGGCTTACTATGATGCAGAAAGCCTGGTCTTTCAGTCTGGGGTCTTAATACCAGGAAGCAGAAAAAAAAAATAACCAAGAGCAGCAAATCCCTTTTCAGAATTAAGCTCCACCTCTAGAGCACAAGATGTGGAAGAAGATTGCATAAGCACATATTTTAATTTGGCGCGAAGCC